ACATCTGAAATGTGAGGGCAGTCTACGTTTTGAGAATGAATGACTTAAGACAAGGTCTGTTGAAATGAAATGTCACAAATCTTATTCTGGACCATTGTACTCGTAACTCATCAGTGGATTTTATTTATCTGCTCATGTCTCGGAGTCTATCGTTTCGAACGGTATCCGACAGTCACGATCATTGTTCAGGACAAAACAGTAGGAGAGATAAAGCGATAAAGCGTTGCACTCTTTGCCTGCCGTTTATCGATTTGTCTTCCTCGTCACTGCGCTCGTTGAAGCGATTGGCCTATCGACGAGGCACAACGCAATGCGATCAAGCCGTCACAGCTGTTCTAATCTCGTCCAGTTCGGAAATCTACGGTTTGATCGCAGATTTTTGACGAATCTCGCTGCTGTATCATCGAAAATGTTTTTCTTCAACCTTCATCTTGTTTGGCTTCAAAGTTCTTAATCAAAAATCAAATTTTGGCGTCCAGTTTTGCGATTTGTAGCGGATTTAAACTCGAAAGCATGACACAACAAAAATAGTGAGTCATGAGAGGTTCTCTGAATATTCGGCACGGTGGAACGCAATGCTCATGAATCCATCACTAAATCGACCAGTGATCAGAGGCCTAAACTGCCGTAATGTCAGGCATGCTCTTGGACGAGGGTGTTCATTGCGGACAGGCTGCAAACACGACAGTGTTTGGCCATTATGGGATTAAATGCCAGACTCGCGCTTTTTTCTACCAATGATTGAGTACTTCACTGCCGGTTCCGACATGTGAACAAAAGCGATTTCATGCCAACCACCGTTTTTACGTCACCGTCTATCTTCTACGGGATGAATCCTTGATGTGATTCGAAATTCAGTGCAAATACTTGCACTGGAATTAGCGGCCGTTCTTCAAACCTAAGATTCACGAGTCCACTCAACGACAGAGTCTGCCGGTCGGTGACTGACAGATGTAGCAAATACTGTCGAGGTCGAGGATATTGAATTCGTGGCGATTGGCAAAAGCGGTTTCACCGATCTCTGGCCGCTGACTCGGTGCCCTTCAACAAGCTATCGCTCCTTTCAAGCCAGAAAGCAGAGACTCTAAACTTAGAGAATTAGCCGTCGTTAGTGGCCTCATATATGACTAGTAGAGGCTTGTCTTGTCCCTTGTGGCTTTGGACGAAAACCGGTTGCATCGACATGGTTCTATAGCCAATGGTTAGTAGGTGGGCACGAGAAACCGGACCGATTGTAGCCTGCCTTTCGAAACAGCTAATTTTCTGAGGAGTTGATCGCGTCTCTTATTTACATCACCCAAAATGATGTATGACGTTGTACCAAATTTTCACGTGACAAAAGCGTCGCACGGCCAGGGGCTGTAATGCCTTCGGTCAAATTCCGGCCCTTCAACCGTTCCGACATCGAAGATCCTAGAATTCGTAAGGTTCATTACTTCAACCGGCAGTGTCAACAACGATCACGTGCTGTGAGCTGCTTTAAAGTTTTCTCTCTGACGAAGATTATCAAAGAATTACGGTAGAACATTTTAGATTCTGGGGTTGCGGCTTAAATCATAGACTCTTAGCTGATTCGTGGTTGAGAGCACAGAGCAAAACAGATTTTAACACTTTGTACTTGTATAAATAATGCGCCACAATAAAATTTCAACATCTGTTTTTTTTTCGGTGACTTCGACCATGAATTAGCAAGGAGTCTGTAAGATTATCGAAGAATCCGGCTTTTCAGCATAAATAGGAGTAAATAAAATTGTACAAATGGGATAAAAGACAAAGAAAGAGTCGTTGAGAAACACTGAAACACATACTGTGCTGTGCTGAAGAACAGACACCGTTGTAAGTTCCAAATGACGTACTTATTAAATGTATTTTTCCAGACATCTAATTATTTTTTTCCTTATTAATTATATGTTTATGTGTTTTATGATCAAACTAAAATAGGTTCAGACACATTTCCGAATTTTTTTTTCCAATATCTTGCCATATGCCTTGGCGGGAAGGGCCAGGACAATTCAGTCATTTACGTGTTGGATTTCAGTCCAATGATGGCAGGTTCTATTCTTGGCCAGGTCACGTGCCTTTTATTCCTCTGATAGCCATAGCCTTGAGTGCTATTGGAAACCTGTCGAAAATGCGGGCATACATAGGAGTAACTCATTGCAAAAACATCCGTCTGCACCTTCCTTCAATCTGACTAGTGTTGTTGCACGGTAGAGAGGCAGTTTTCCAGAGAAGTTGGTTGAACTGTGTATGGTAAACGATGAATTCACGCACATCACCAGCCAAAGACGTTCTGCTTATGAAAACGGCTGGAAGCGATTACCACAGAAAACTAGCAAATCACAGCCTTTCTGTGGCAGATTGTCAAACAGTGCTGTTATGGAAGGCCACAGAAGGCTCCACACTCCAAGTATCACTCAGCTACAGATATAACATTGGTTGAAAAGACATCCCTGACTCGTGCTTCAAGAAAGGAGATTAGCTCTCTGTTGAAAAGTTCATGAACAAACGGAATCCGAAAAATGGCGTAGATCACGAACAGGGAATTGAGGACAACATCAATGGTTACAAGATTTGTTTAGTCTTCCTTTCTTGAGAAAGAAAAGGTCTTCTCCCCATTTTCTGATAGGTTCTATTCGACATCGTTGATGCTTCTGATCGTATCGATTACAAGACGCGGTTCTCTATTCTTAGAGGGCGAGAAAGAATCGATTTGCCTTCAACGGAGGTTAATACATATTACAGCAGTTTCTTTCCAATTTTAAATTTTTATCAGGATGATCTTCTCCCATGTGGAACTGATGCGAAAGTCCAAAGGAGATCAACCAAACAAGGTTAAAACCGTGTCTTTGGCCAATCGCCTAAAAACTGATAACGTGATTCCATGATCATTATAACGTCATAATAGAGCGGACCTAGTCTTGCTCCCCATAGCATGCGATCCCTTTCAGTGGCCGTCGCCCGTTCTTCTCTACGCCAAAGTCGATATAGGGAGGAGGGGATTCCTCATTACACTGGAGGAAAATTTATTAACATTTTTTGCTCATGTATACCCTGTACTTCCTTTGTGTACTGGACTGATATAAATGTTCAGAACTGATATTTTGCAAAGCCCTTCTTTTGTTAATAATTGAAAACATAAGCTGGGCGATCAACCGCGTCGTTGCTCTGTCTTGGCACTCTTCTAAACAATGGAACTTAACTTCCTCGTACTTTATCAGTTTTGTCGTTGTTCAGTTTCCAACAGGTAGATAGTTCAGCTGAAGTGCACACAAAGTTAATCACCTGACTGACACCTGTTTTCTGAGGTGAAATTCGGTACATCTCCCTCCAAATAACAATATGTAAAAGCGAGAAAATGACGGTTCTATTAACGATTACCGCATAGTATATAGTCTAGCCG